TATTGATGAACATGAAATGTATTCAGGATTCTTTAAGAAATCCCGTGTAGCTGAAAGTCAAACTAGAAGGAGAAAATAGTGCCAGTACTCTGTACAAGATAAATGACCAAAAATCGTACATGTCTCCAGCAGCAGATGGTGTCCGAATCTCATCTAGGAATTGAAATATTTATTTAGTTCAGAGAGAACAAGCCAAAAGGTGAACGCTAAGAACCTTTTGCATATCGTATTGAAGCTCTTTTTGTTTTTATTTTTTTGTCTTTATTCGTGAGTTATTTTTTTCAGGGTGGATGAAGTCAAATATCATTTATAAAAAAGGAATGCGTTCCTCGTACTCTATTGTGTCTGAAGTGCTTTTCAAAAAAATAACTACGGCCGTATCTATGAAAGCACACTATAGTCGTTTGAAAGTATTGTACATTCGTTGAAGTTATTACATGCTGTGTCTGCCGCAGTGGTCAATTTCCATTATTCTGCGCGTTTTCTTATTGTATAGTGAATATTCTAGGCGAACACTTATACACAAAAATAATAATTTGCCAATTTCGTAAAGCCGTTGCGTTAGGCGGATTATGGATTGATAAACGCGGAGGCCGAATTGGCTGCCGAAGATTGGCCGCTTCAGATAAAAAAAAAGATATTCAAGTTTCCCTAGCATCTTCACCCGCTTAAGCAACATTGAGCGACAGGGGCTTAAAGGGATTTCGCGAAAGAAATCCCCGCAAGGGTAATTACACGACCCCTTTGGGACAGATGGATCGCGCGAGACAAATTGCCATGGGAAAAATCACGCGGCGAGTTCCGACCACGCGGCAGCTCCAGAAAAAGTTGCGATCCGGCAATGAGCCAGTGATCTCTCATGAATGACCGTTCCTTCATCTTCGCATCTCGCAGAAACGGTTCAAGAGATACCCGCCTTTTTTCCCTTTTGTTCGTCGTGGTTGTCAGGAATAGGGGAGGACAGAAAACGATCCTCCTGCTCTGGGATCGCCCTGTCAGAATGAGTTTCCCCCAGTTTCCTGCCCTTTTTCGCCCCCCGCCCCACCCCCCCCCCCCCCCCCCCCCCCCCCCC